CCTCCTCCTGTTTGTGTGGCTCTGCTTATTCTATACCTTTTATAAGACGCCACTCAGAAGGGATTAGGGTTAGGACCCATCTTACTCTGGTATGGCATTATTAACATAACAAAAGAAACCCCCGATTTCCGGAACAGGGTCACATTCACAGGTACAAGGGTTAGGACTTTGTGAAAGACACAATTCAATCCATAGCACCATCCAAGAGAGACTCTGTTGTTGTTGTTGTTGTCGTCGTTATGTGCTATCGAGTCGGCCCCAACTCATAGCGACCCCTCCTTGGGTTTCTGAGGCGGTATCACTACGGAAGTAGATTACCCCATCTTCCTTCTGAGGAGTGTTTGGTGGGTTTGAACCGCCAGCCTTCTGGTGAGCAGTCAAGTGCCTTAGGCACTAAAGGATTCTTATTTTGTGAGTCAGTGAATGAGATCTTAAGATCTTACTCTGGGTTTCTAATATTGCCTGAAAAAAAAAGAAGATTTACTTATTTTTTTAAATATAAGGTTATTGAAAATAGGATCTATCTACGATTTAAGGAGCTCTGGTGGTATAGTGGTTAGGGCATTTGGCTGCTAACCAAAAGGTTGGTGGCTCAAACCCAGCATCTGCTCCATGGAAGAAAGATGAGATGCAATCTGGTTCTGTTAAAGATTTACAGCCTTGGAAACCCAACGGGGGTCACTGTGAGTCAGAATCCATTTGATGGCAGTAAGTTTGATTTTTTGGTTTCTTTGACATTGTTTAAGTTAGCAAGTAACAAATGTCTTGTCTTTCAAGCATGCTCTACATTACATGAACTAAATATAATTAATTCTTCTTGGAGAAAGCGAACAGATTAAATCCATATGAAAGAAACAGCACCTTTATTTATAACGTTGCGTTTAGTCAATTGGTGGCTTACAACTTGGCCTGTTGCCCCTCCTTGTTTTATTCTGTGCCTTAGTTTTGGATCCCATAGGAGCTGACTATGGGAGACAAGAGACCAGCATTCAAGAGCAATTATTTTATTTGGGAGGTGATCCCAGGAAAAGTGGTTGAGAAGTAAGGAAGTGGCCCAAGAAAGGGAAGCAACCTATACAGGGTGACCTCAATGAGCAAGTTAAGTGAACCAGGGATGTCTGTGGGAGGCCCTGGGGAGAAAGTGTAAGATGTTGTTTATTGGTCCAAGAGACATAGACTAAGAACATTAATCAAAACCCAAAAAACCCAAACTCACTGCCGTCAAGTCAATTCCAACTCATAGCGACCCCCACTGAATTTCCAAAGCTATAAATTGTTAGGGAAGCAGATAGCCTCATCTTCTTCCAGGAAGTAACTGGTGGGTTTGAACCACCAACCCTTAACCACTACACCACCTGAGTTCCTTTAAGAACATTAATAAGGGATGTCAAACCAAAGCATATTATTGAAACACTTCTTAATACTTTTTAATTTAATTACGTGAATATCAGTATGATTTAATAGTCTTTTTTCTTCACCACAATAGAAATATGTTTCATTGAAGATTACAGATGGTTTATTTATCCTAAATGTACCTACCTTGATAAGCTGCATTTAGGAAGCTCAGCCAAATAGGTCTGAAGTCAGTTCAACACTTTTTAAAATATCCATGTAAATTACAGTTTTGTCTCTACTCAGAGTAACCAAAGATTTAATTCAGTTCACAGAGTTTAGTTCTCTTTAGAATAATGAAATTTGTATGACTACACCCATGAATACATATAGGTTTGATAGAGGTTATTTCTACGTATGTATTTATATGTGCTGCTAATGTGTACAAGTATACAGTAGAGCACACAAGGGACAAAGTTATGACAACTTCTTAGCTATAAGCAAATATCTTGAAGGAAGGAGTCACTGGGCCTGAAAGCTCAGGACCATAGTCTCAGGAGACATCAAGTTTAACTGGCACAGCACAGTCCACAAAGACAATGTTCTGCATCCTACTTTGATGAGTAGTGACTGAGGTCTTAAAAGCTTGTGAGCAGCCATCTAAGATGCAACTACTGGTCTCTTCCTGTCTGGAGCAAAGAAGAGTGAAGAAAATCAAAGACACAAGGAAAAATTAGTCCAAAGTACTAATTGACCACATGAAACTCAGCCTCCACAACCCTGAGACCAGAAGGACCCTAAGACCAGAACTAGATGGTGCCCAGCTACCACTATCCACCTATCTGCAAGGAATCACAATAGAAGGTCTTGGGTAGAGTGGAACAAAATTCAAAATCATAAAAAAGGCCAGGCTTGCTGGTCAGACAGAGACTGGTGGGACCCCTGAGACTGTGGCCCTTACTCACCCTTCAAGCATGGAATGAAGTCACCCCTGTGACTTCAGCCAATAATAGACAGGCCTATGAGATGGACAATAACCCCAGGGAGGTAGGCACTCCCTAGAACAATCAACCCTTAGAAATCCAAAGGGCAGCATTTGCCCAGGGATAAAGCTCAGAAGGCAGGAAGGGACAGGAAAGAAGGATGAATGGAAATGGGAAACACAGGGAGGAAGTGGAAAGAGTGTTACATTGCAAGGACTGCAGTCAATGTCACAAAACAAAGTCTATGAACTGTTGAATGGAAAATTAATTTGCTCTGTAAATTTTCATCCAAATCACAATAGAAAGTTTAATAAATAAAATGTACAGGAGGATGTGTGTAAGTTATGTGCAAATACTACACCATTTTATATAAGGAAATTGAGCACCTGGAGATTTAGGTATCTGCGGGGCATCCTGGAACCAGCGACCGTCGGATACTGAGGGATGACTGTTTACGTTGTGACACTACAGTGAGACCACCAACACCTCTAAAAAAAGATAGACATAGTGGTACAAATACATAAAGGGAGGAGCTATGAGCATGCTTGGAGGGATCTAGAACACTTCATGGAAGATGTCATATTGACACCAGAATACACACAGTTTTCCAGGCAAAGAAACTCTGTGTGTGTGCATGTGTGTGCGCATATGTGTGCCTTTTGAAGAAGAGCAGGCACTTTCCTTGCTGTCACTAACACTTTCTGCTTCTACACTTAGATATTGACGAATGTGCCTCTGGTAAAGCCATCTGTCCCTACAATCGAAGATGTGTGAACACGTTTGGAAGCTACTACTGCAAATGCCATGTTGGTTTTGAACTGAAATATATCCGTGGACGATATGACTGTGTAGGTAAGATTTAGGAGGCACCCTGTCTTCCCTTTCTCTCCCCACCAAACCTGTAGGCTTTCTCTACAGATATTTTGAAGTCAAGTCAATCTATTAGTTGAACAATCAATGTCCGATATATAAGACCAGCTTAACACCACATGAAAAGTGATCTTTTTAAGGTCCGGCATTTAGGGATTTCCAATGGCATGAATTACATGAAGCCAAGATAATAAAAATTTAAAGCCAGGAACTTTAATCTATATGTTCTACCACGGGACAAAATGTCTTGGGATAGTTTTCATGGGATTTTTGTTTGTTTGTTTGTTTTTTAGTGTGGTTGGTTTTGTTTTGTTTTGCCTGTATTTTTGATTCTGTCTCTAGGTACACATCTAAAAATGGGAACAATAAAGCAGTATTCATTTTTGATAAGGGAAGCACACACACGTAGGCTTCTCAGATCTTGATCTCAGGGGTCTGTTTACAAGTTTTCATCAGGGTGGCTGTAGAAAAATTCATGAAGGAGATGAAGGCTTGTAGTCTCTCATCTTGCCTCTTGTAGTCCTTTCACACTCTAGAAAGTTCCCATTTCCCAGCCACAGAAACCAGTCTCCAATAAGATTCTGGTATCGGTTAGCTACTGGCCTAATGGGAATCGAATAAAACATTTTATCCCTTAGTGAAGGGATTGCAGGTCTCAATGAGCCTGTGAAATGCAGTTGTCTTGGAGCCCTAGGTGAATTCCCATTGACATCATGATATAGGATGGGACGTGGCCACAGTGAAGGGAAATTCTGGCTCCTTCTGTTTTCCTGTTCACATAATATGGGTAATAAAGGTATGTCCATGACATGAAAAGCTAGCAGTTGGAAAAAATGGAGTAGGATTTCTTTCAACCCTACACTCCATGCTTTCAAGGACACATCCTGCATAAACGCATTGGGGAAACACCTGGTTTCTGGGTTTTGAAATGTCTTGTGAAGTCTTCACAGCTTTTCCCTCAAATCCTCTCAAACACAAAGACCATTACAGACAGGCTGGTCAATATGGTAAATCCATATTTCTTGGGGCACCCATGACTAGAGGTGGGATTGGTCCCCATGCCCTCCTGTAGGCCCACCGAGCTCAGTCATCCAATGATGGTGTGTCAGAGGAGTATAACCTTGTTCCCTGACACATAAACAGAGGATAGCAGGACAGGGTGGAAATTCACATGGGGAGCATCAAAAGGAAATTAACCTTTCTGATTTTGGAAGTGATTAAGACTAGCATCACAGCTCCCTTTGTGGCTAAATTAAAAACAATAGTCTATTTTGTGTGCCTATGTCTACCATAGGGAGCTCTGGTAGCATAGTGGCTAAGGCACTTGACTGCTAACCAGAAGGCTGGCGGTTCAAACCCACCAGCCACTCCTCGGAAGAAAGATGGGGCAATCTACTTCCGTAGTGATACTGCCTAGGAAACCCAAGGAGGGGTCACTATGAGTCGGGTCTGACTCGACGGCACATAACAACAACAACATGTCTACCATGCATAACTAGAACTCTAAGATGGAGAATCGGGTTGATGAACCTCTCACTTGGGTGGAATTTGACAAACTTTCCAAGTCTAAATCCAGCAGACAAGATCAGACCAGCCTGACCCTTGTTCCTGGCAGTCTTTGAACAAAATGCTTGTGCCTGTAAGTTCAGGTGATGTCAGTGATTCCTAGCACAGCTTGTCCTTTGTTTGGTTAGGAGCTCTAAGCTCTTACATAGAACTTATTTTCTGATATTTGTATTTAGTCCTAAATTTGTTGTTGTTGTTGTTAGGTGACTTATAGTGATCCACACACAAAAGAATGAAACACTGCCCAGTCTGCAATCCTCACAATCGTTGCCATATTTGAGCCCATTGTTGCACCCACTGTGTCAATCCATTTTGTTGAGCATCTAAATTGGACAAGTGAAAAATTAAAGGAAGAAACCTAAATAGCCCACAGATTTCAATAGCATTGATAAACAAGAAATGGAAATTGCTGGGGGTGGAGAGGTGAGATACAGACACACTTGCCACATACCAGATGTCAGCCAAAGCCATGGCTCTCAGCCAATACACCTGGAGATATGAACACCTCTTGTTCTTAGGCAACACTTGGTCTGTTGGGATGTTGAGTTGTTCAAGTGTAAGGGATGGTCTCTTGGCAAGCTCTGTAACCACTAAGCCGTTCACTGTGATGTTCACATTTTTATTTTTATTTTTTTTACATTAAACATTTCATGTACATTTAGTTTCACTCCCCATTTACCATCCCTAGCCTTAACCCAGTCTCCTCCCCTCCTTGCCAAGTAATGCCCCCCCATGGCCCTCATAGTTATGAACTCCTGTGTGTCCTGCATTTCTTCCATGCGAATGTTGCCCCTCTGATGCCCTGTGGTCTATTGCTTCAAGGGATGCATTTCCATAGAGTATGTGGGTGCGTCACCCCAGGTTGGGTGGTATGCACATACATCTTGTTGACTACTGGGCTGAGAGCCAGCCTCTGGGAGTAAGTTTTATTCCAGGCTCAGAATGTATTCTAGGGCCATAGTATTGGGGGTCTCAGCAGACTCCATCCAACCAGTAATTCTGGTCATTTTTGAGTTTTTGGATTTTGTTCCATGTTTTCCCTCCATCCAGGATCTCCAGATTTGATCCTTTCCCAAGTGGTTGGCATTGGTAGCCGGGCACCATCTAGTTCTTCTGGTCTCAAGGTCCATCATATCCTAGGGCTGATTGCTTCCAAATGCCCTTGTTTTTTTTTT